ATCAGAAACAAACAAACAAAAAACCCATGAGAAAGAATGGCTTCACAAATTAACCAAAATTTTATATTGTTTCTAATTAAGAACTTGAGAGACAGACACTGAATCTCCAGAGCATAGAAACACTGTCTCCAGCTGAGTGCTCCCTTCGTTATTTTCTTTTAATTTTTCAATTACAGATGACATACAATATCATGTTAGTTTCAAGTGTACAATGTGGTGATTAGACATTTGTATGTCCAGTTAAGTTCTCAAAAAGGGCTCCTAGATGCTGTTTCTGGCATTGGAACTGAGTATCTTTATGGCTGGATTTTTAAATTTTTATTTAATTATAGTTGGTATACAATATTACATTTATTAGAGTGGTTTCAGGTGTACAATACAAGTGATTCAACATTTCTATACCTTGGGATGATTTTTAATCCTTTCCCTAAAAGTTGATATTTTGGAATCACAGCTTCCTCGCCTAGTTCAAGTTTCCGAATTGTGATGACAGGCAGACACAGGTCTGGAGTCTCCATGAGCTGGCGTTTCCACTGAAGCAACCGGAGGTAAGGATTTGTTTACTTGATCTGCTAGCAAGGACTTTCCAATAGACATGCACAGAATCATTGATCAGTGCGTCCTCTCCTTGTTTGCATTGCAACACTGTTCAATTTACACCAATTAAAGATGCCTGGTTTGGGTATTGAAGAATAATTAAGGGATGCAAATCCCCAGAGGGCAGCTAGAAATGACATCTGACTAGAATGGTGATGAAGGCAGCATTAGTATTTGAATAGTTTGACTGATATGCAAAATCATTACACAACTCTCCAGGAAGAGTGATACTGGGTCGCTGTATGCACTTGCCTGGTCACCCTAAACAAACTTGACAAGTCTAATTTCCAGTAATTGCTCAGAGTTTAGCGGCCGCCTCTGTCCCCACAAGGGCAGCTATCTGGACCACATCTTGTAATTGAGATGTGTCTTTAAACTATATGTGTCAACCCAACATGCAAATATGCTGTCAAAAAAAGTGAAGGGTTGTGACACCCCGGTGAATCATTTTCCAGTCAAATTTGAACATGAAAACTTCACTATAGCTTCAGTCAACCCACCAACTCTTCCACCTCATCCCCTGAGGGAAGGGCTGGCTTTGCCGGCTTCATCAGACCCAGAAGTTCATCTGGAGACCGTGGCAAATGTGGTCCCTGGACCTGCAGCAGCGTCACCTGGGAACTCGTTAGAAATGAAAGCTGGACCTGACCCTACGCCTGCTGCATCTCTGGGTGAGGGCCTGCAGTTAGCGCTCGTTAAGTCTGCTCAGTGACCTGTAGCCCAGTTAGTTCTGAGAAGCACCGACCTAGCCCCACTTCGTCACGACAAAATGGAAGCTGGTAAGTAGGCTAATTTGCCTGCAGTCACACAGCTCAAATGACCCTGGAGGCTGGAGCGAACCACAACTTGTTCAAAACATTTCATTCCTGACTTTTATTACTCAGTTAAATTTTGAAAATGTTTTGCTGCCCTGCGTGTGTGCGTGTGTGTGCGTGTGTGCGTGGTGTTGCACATGTGAGTGTGTGTGTGCGCGCACGCAGCCTCAGCTTCTCCCTGAGGGCATGGCAGGATAGGACATGTCCTGGAAGGCGGCTGGGGCTCTGCTCCCTGGACCCCGGAGGCAGGTACAGCCCTAGAACTGACTCATCTTCAGGGGAATCATCACAGGAGCCAGCACCTCCTTCTGAGAGGTGCACCCCCACTTGTGCAGTGGGAACAGTGGCAGGAATGTCAAGCTGCTGATGTTTGGGACATGACTGCTACCCCTTCGCCCCCCCATGTCACAGGAACCCTTTGGGACTTGTGGACAGTCCCCTCACACTGTTAACAAGGAGTGATGCCCAGGGCAGAGGGAGGGAAAGGGAGTGTCGTTCCTACTGAAAATCTAACTGAACAGATTTCCTGGACAGAACACAGGGTGGAAATTAAATTTGAGCTACTAACCAAACGAGAGATTTCGGATTTCATTTTCATTTTTACAATTCGTATCCTTTGCCATTTAGTCCCAGTCTGACAACCCTTAACCCACAAGGAGCCTAGATACCCAGCTCAAGTGAGTGAATCCAATCAAAACTGAAAAATAAGGGCGGCTCATTGGCAGGCGACACAGGCTGGCAGCCCAGGTCCTCCAGTGATCAGCTCAGCCAGACTCTCAAGTGTGAGAAAAGCTTCCAACTCGCGGGGCTCCCAGCCAGTGGGAGCCCAGAGTGCCCCTCCCTCCACGGTCCTGCCTGCGAGGCCCAGGCCAGGTGAGCTCCCGCCCTGCCGCCCCTCCCCTCAGCCGCTGCGCCTCTGAATGGGGGAGGGAAGGGGAGTGACGGGGGATTGATGGCCGTGGCAGAAGAGCGAGGCGGCCCCCAGAACAAAACGAGGGCGACCCGGACGAAACAAAGCGCCACAATAGATCATTTCTGAGAAGTCATCCGGCAGCTTTGAAACCCAGGCTGTGTGTGCCAGGCAGCTCCACAGCCACGGCTTTCAAGGGACATGAATGGAAACGGAACAGTAACTCTTTTTCATTCCTCTTTTCAGGGTCTTGTCTGCGAGAGAAGGATTTACTATTCAATTCCCATGCTTGCATGTGGGAAATTAGGAACCTGCCCCTTAAAAAGAAACTGCCTTCTAAACTCTCATAAATTGTGGTGCTTTTATAGATCTACCCAAATTTCTTCCTCTTTCGGCTTACAGGGGGGGGGACGGAGCGGGGTTACCATAAATAATTGCATCCCTTAGGTGTAGGCGCCACAGTCCTAACTGAACATAGAGCACATATATAAGATTTATCTCCTCATTTTTGAAGAAGATATTAGAGGAATGCTTTGGAATTTTACTATACATATTATATAACACTTTGAATCTCAAATGAAAAGAATTCCTTTAAAGTCATTGAACTAGACTTCATGGTATCATGGAAATATTCAATTATAAGTGATATATAATTCCACATATGGATGAAATATTTACCAGTTACAAAATTACTAAAGAAAAGTAAATTACATGTGTCCCCTCTAAATACACCAAAATTTGAATCTCAAGAGAAATTTTAGTTGGTAAAGGTTCTCTCATAAGTCATGCATTTAGCATTTAGAAGGCATTTTTAAACACGCCTAAGCGCGCGCGCACACACACACACACACACACACACACACACACACAGGCACAAACTCTGCCATCTCCTCCACTTTTCTCAGCAATATTTTATTCAGGAAATCTCCATCCAAAGAGATATTTCATCTTTAAGCTTGATGCAGGGTGCAGTTTCTGTACTTGACTATTGCTCTATTTTACCACATTTTATCATTAACCGGTCTTTTTTTCGGACTAAAAAGACTTACCCCAGGAAACATTAATCACTATATATTTGGAAAGGCAGCAAGTACTGGACCAAGCTGGTGAAAAGTCGGAAGCAAATTAAATAGGACATTCATTCATTCATTCGTCGCCTCAGCAGTGTTTAAGGGGCAGCACTGGTGAGGCTCGCCCTGAGTGCCATTCCAAATGGTTTACTGAAAGCAATTGCGTTTACCAGCTGCCGTGGCCTGGCCAGAATTTCCGCAGTGGCAGCTCCTCCCTGGCTGCTCCTCCCCAGAAGCCCGGGTGCTTGGCCATGCTAATCTCATTAACCTTCCCTATCGGTTTCAGCAGACAGAAATGGAGCCCTGAGAACCAACCGGCAGCTCCTGGCCGAGCTGCGCAGGGAGAAGTCAAGCTTTGGCTCTAGGCCAGCGCCTTTGATGGGACTGCGCAGGCCCCTCGCAGGCCCTTGTGGAGCAGAGGAAGAGAGCACATACAAGGCACCCTGGCCACGGGCAATCCAGCCATGGCTGACCCACACTTCCCTCTTGCCTCCTCCTGCCCCAGGAGAGCCTGACTCCTGGCGACGGGGAGCAGCTGCGCTGATGGGCGGCCATTCTCCAGGGGCAGCCAAGCATACCCTGATTCCCAGGGAACCCTCTAGGCAAGAGAGACCCTTTCGGGTGAGAGGTGGATGGGGGGAGGGGCGGGGGGAAGGGAAGAGAAAGGAAGGTTTCCATCCTCAGCAGGTCTGTAAGGCAAGACTGGGGCACACTAACCATTTCCTAATGTGCAAAAGCTGAAACTTGGACCCTTGTTAGATTTCTTAGATACGCAGAAAACCAACCCAACAAAGGCGAGTCTGACAATATCCTCACTGTGGACTGTTTCAAGCCCCGCCATCTCTTCTTCTCAGTCAAAAGAATAGAGAGAGAAATAAAATTTCCTACTTCTGAGAACAGTGTTAAAATCCTCAGAAATCTGCACTATATGTGTATCGAGTCCACATATTGTACACCTACGCTTTCACGGTGTGATATGTCACTTACATCTCACTTAAGCCGAGGGGAAAGGGAACCTTCGAAAGAAAACCCAATCATTGCTGCATTGACATCTGCAGTCTGAAAACCGTATCGTTTCCTTCCAGAAACAACTTGCTTGTTAATAGATATTTCAAAAGGAGTCAGGATATTGCTTCATAAGATCCAAAATCTCACTTAGAAATATTAATATGGAAGGAAATCGTGGCTCTTCAATATGGACCTCACTTGCTTCAGAATAGATAGCTTTAATGGTCTGGGAAGTTTTATGAATTAAAATATTTCAATTTCCTGCTTTACTATCTCTAAACCAGAAATTCCCAAGGCCACACCACTCACAGCCCACAGAACTGCGGTGCGCGGGGGCTCGGGGAGACCCCTTTCAACAGCTCACCCACAACCCACACTCCAGGTGTTCCTGGATGACAGCACCGCTAACCTCCAAACCAGCGTTTCCAGCACGCTCGGAAGTGGACAGCATGGTGCTTCCTAACTCTTAAAACTCCCGAGACTTATTATCTTTCACTGAATTCAAATACTATGTGATTAGAGCAATTCTGCTGTGAGTTTTTGTACATTTTCCAGCCTCCCCTGCCAGGACTACTGTAGCCTGTGGAAAGATATTGTTACCTTTTCCCAGTTCTTTCTCCAGAAACAGGTCTGTGGGTGTTTTAATTAGTCTGCCTGCTTGTTTCTGTCTGTCTGCCCTACGAGGACGCCGGCTTCAGGAGAGGGCCATGGCTCTGCTGCCTACCATCACCGGCAGCTTCATGCTGCTCAGACAGAGTGGATGCTCAATAAGCATGTGCGGGAGGAAGGACAGCAGGGGAGGATGAAGGGATGCGAGCTACTGACTGGCAGCCAGAGCTCTACTTCCACGCCCAGACATTGTCTATATTTTTCAAGGTAAAAAACTTTACTCTTTGATCCAACAGATCCACTAAGACTGGACTGCCTTTCCTTTCTCAGAACTCCCTGGAGCTGGCCCAGCTGCGGCTGGCCTGTTTCTCAGAGAAGAGGCCAGACCTGCCTCCAGGCTGCTCGTCTGCTCTGCTGCCTGGTTTAATGGCGTCACCAGCACATCCAGGTCCCAGGCCACAGGAAGTCTAGGAAGAGCGATTTCCAGTTAAAACAGGAAGTAGATGCTGCACATATCACTTCTACTCACATTTCAGAGGCAATAACTTAGCCTCTGTCCTGAAGTGGAGTCCCCAGCTAGTTGGCTTCATGTCTCAGGAGAAAGTGAAGGGCTTTGGGGAAGCTGGCTGTGGGCCACACGCTTCTAGACGCCTCTCTTAGCAGGAAGTGTCCCAGGACTGTCTGGGTGCGGAGCCTTGTGCAGACTCTATCTTTGATGGGAAGACCAAGACCTCGGGCCCACAATCCCTACCGCCCTACAGCGCTGTGGGCTCCGGAGGGGGCGGCCGGACCTCGGGGGCAGGCAGTGCCCCCCTGGGCACCAACACCGCAAGCCCAATCCTTCCTTCCTTGCTGGCTCTGGAGCCCAGAAACATCCAAGTGCATTTTTGTTTTTGCATCTAAATGTTCCCATTCAGCTCTTCACTCGCTGTGTGAGAAGGACGTGCACAAAGCAGGTGAGCGGAGTACCCGTTGCTCCAATCTAAAGGGAGGAGCCAGAGGGCAGTCCTCTTTGGTGTCCTCAGCACAATCCCAGTTTAGCAGCTACAGGGATTGCTTCCTGAGTTCTTGTCCCATCTCCTCGGCCAGGCTGCCAGCTCTGAAAGTGGTAAATGCCACGCCGGGCTCCGTAGCTCCTGACATCCAACTCCGGGGACAGTGGCACATCCACTCCACTCGATGCACTGAGCTATCGGGTGGAGCTCCATGACCTGGAAAATAAATTAGGCAGATTAGTCCCAAACATTGATTGACTCCGAATTTCTTTTTTAAATAGAAAAAAACACCCTGTTATTGAACGGAATGACTAACTTACTATCCCTGTGCGGGGGAAGCTGGAAACGCTGCCTAAAATGACATTACACACAGGAACTTCTGGTAACTCAGGATGCTGCCTTCTGGGTGGTGTTTATTCTACGCCACAAACACCTGAATGACTGAGGTTGAACCCAGTCCAGACGCTCCGTGTAGGGTGCCAGCACTCTGTGGGCTGGCACACGCACCTGACAAAAATCTGGGGAATGCTTAGCCTCCTGGTCCTCTGAGAATCACACCATTTTCCAAGAAAAGCTAAATAGCTCGTTCATGCTGCGCCCGCTCTCTTCCCGCTGCTTTCCTGGGGTACCTTTCGGCCGGACTGTTTCTTTCTCTGACGGGCTGCTGGAGACCGAGGCTTTAACTCAGAGTTACAGTGAATGCCTCTGAGTGCACTCTCAGATGAAGAATATTATGCTTAGTTCATCTAGCGCAGGTAAATAACTGTCACACGAATGCCATCCACGCATGGCTCTGGTCCCCATATCCCCCGTGTGGCTGACATCCACACAAGCTCAGTGCTGGCTCTGAGAGGAGCTACCTTGCAAGTGCCGTCAGGTGACGAGGCTGTGACGCTGTCCTTTCCTTGTCACCCCCCGCCCCCACCGTCAGCAAGGGGACTGGGGACTGCATTTCAAGGGCGTTTTGGACAGGAAGCCCCGCGTGGCCTGACACACACAGCCGTCTCTAGGGGCCATGGAGTCAGCCGCCACACTCCACAGCGAGCCAAGCCTCCTGCCTGAGGGCACCGGAGGGGTTCCCAGAAGGAAGTGAGAAGCCTGGGGCGCACTCCAGACCCTGAAGGGGATGCCACCAGCTGCAACGCATGGAGCCAGGTCCACGCCCGGCCTCAGCGACGAGCTGCAGGTGGCGAGGGAGGCTTGGCGTGGCCTAAGGGGCAGGGGGGCCCGGGCGAGGTGCACGCAGGCAGCCTGTGGACGGAGGGGCCTGGCGATGCGCAGGCGCGCTTCCCCGAGATGAGCTCCCTGGATGTGTCCCCGCGCCCCCAGGGCTAAGGTAGGAGAGTTAGGTGGATATTTGAATTTCTGGATTTCCTGTTCCCTATGTCAACGTGCATTTCTTTCATAACTAAGAAAATGTTTAATTGAAATTATATCCTTTAGGAAAAAATTAAAACCCTCCCCCCGTCTTCAAACGGATGACACCAGAGAAGCTTCAAGATGACTCCTGAGTGGGACTTCCCCACGGGGGGCTGGGCACAGAGCCAGGGCTGGGTGGGGAGCCTCTTGGGGACCACACTGGGGCCAGGGAACCTTCCTGAGGCTTTTGGCAGCTTGCTGAAGGTCTTTGAAGGAGCAGATCTTTGTCACTCACACACACACACACACACACACACACGTACACTCACACATGCACATACATGCACACACGCACACACACTCACACATGCGCGCACACACGCATGCGCACACACACTGCACTGGGCGCTGAGGGTTAGCTATTCAGCACAGATCAGCTGCTGCCATCAGAGAGCCTGCGAGGCGGTGCCCTGCTTTCTGATGGGCGATGGTAATGAACTGCGTGGCGTAGCAAGAAGTGACCGAGTCCCAGGGAGCAATGCAGCCTGAAGCCTGCGGACATTTATCCCGAAGCCGTGCCGGTGGCAACAGTGTGGCGATACCGGGCCTGGAGAAGTGCATTTCTCCATGTGTTGCCTCCAGCCTGGGTCCCGGTGAGAAGCAGATGGCCGTCACGTGGGGCCTGGGGAGGCCATGAGGGCCTGGGCTGTTTGCAGAGCTGTAGTCAAGGTGAAGGAGACCAAACTGTGGTGAGTGGCCCCCACCCTGGCTGGAAGCGGCGCTGTGAACGGTGATTCCCACGGACAGAGAAGCAGCTGTGTCACCCTCGGGCCTCCAGGAGGGACGGCCGATCGGCACCCTGAGCTCTCTGTCCCGCACCGCAGTTTCTGGCTCCCGACCCAGCCAGACCCCGAGGGCAAAGGAGACATGGATGCCACCTACACTGACTTCCTCCCCGGGCTGCACGCAGCAGGTGCAAGAGGAGAGGGGCCCCGGGCAAATGCAGCCACACACTGTACACCTGACCCTCCACGCTCTGCGCGCTGGCCACCACCCTTCGAACAGAAGCCAGCGGAGGAGCGGGTGTCGGCTGGCCTGGCCCCACTGGGCCGCAGCACCTGCTCGCCACAGCCACTCGGAGAGCATCTGTGCGGTGACAGGAGAGGAGAGAGAAGAGAGCCACTGCCAGTACTTAACAAAGTAAATAGCGGGCCAAGCAGCATGTCATCGCCGGTAAGAACAGTCCGTAACGGTGTCTGCGAGGGTAAGCTGGTTCCCATTGGGCCATTCTGCCCAAAACAAAATATAGCAGCAGAATAAGGAGAGTATGGTGGGTGTAAGATTTGCTGGAAAACTTATATTTATGCTTTGCTGGGAGCGAATAAAGGCTGTAGAAAGCAGACAGAAGAATTTTAAATTGGCTTTAAAAATACAAGAAATACATCTTTCTCCTAATTTTCAGACCGTGGTCTAAGAATGAGGGGAGAGTGGCCAGGCTCAGCAAAGAAACTCTGCTAAGCAGTGGAGAGATGTCAGCTGTGGCTTTCTGGGCCACGGCAGGTTTCAGAAACCAACATGGTCTGGATTTGATGACAGGTAATGACATTAACTAATTAGCAAACGGATCCCATTTGGAGCCGTGGAAGCCAGATCGGGAGGAGGATAACCAGGCCCCTGAGTGCAGGGCTGGGGAGCCAGCGGCTACGTTTCCTCCCTCGCAAAGCGCGACCAGATGCCTTTGGAGTCCGTGGTCTAAGAGGTTGGGAAGCTACCGGATGAGAGTCGGACCAGCACTCGGAATTGCAGTGCCCGGGGTGGGTGGGCACCGCCGAGGGTGCTGAGGGATGCCACGTGGGTGCCCCTGGCTGGGGGTGTGCCGGTCCAGCCCCCCATCCGGAGCTCCATCAAGGAAATGCCTGGCCCTCGACCCGCTCTCTCTTCCCCTAAGGCCGGAACCGGTTCGCACCCTGTACCATCCCTGGCGGGGACGTCCTGGGAAATTCCAACCCACTCGAGCCTCGGTTTCTTCTCCTACAACGTGAAGACGAAAATGGCAGCCCCCTTTTATCAGCAAGTTGCTGTGAGAATCCAGTGAGGTCGAGTTTACTGTGCAGGTTGTAAAATACTTGAATACAGAAGTACTGCTGCTACTAAGCCAATGACAGGCCCGAGGTCCTAGGATATGAATACCTTGATTGTCAGAAAGGGGGAGGCATTAAAATAAAGGCACCGGCCACCTCCCAGCGGTCAATGAGGCCTCCCCCACTCCCTCTCCCTCTTGCTTTCTCTGGCCCTGGGAGGAAAGGGCATGCCCCACCCTTTCCCGGGACACAGAGCAGTGGCTGGGCCTTGGAAATGCCCTGGTCATTCCTCTCATGCCTTAAGCCCCAATGTAGGACTTCAAAGGAAATACAATCCTAAATGTCAACAGCATCTTTCAGTTATCTGGGAAATTACCTACCTCTACTTTCTCTCTTACCAACCCACTCACCCTCCGTTAAAGCCGTCCTTTGAGTCAAACCCCACTTTTCAGAAACCAAGCAATCACTTAATAAAGAGAAAACGTTAAGGGATCCAGATTTCAATTAACTCCACCATTGATTTTTGTGAAAATCTGGGGAAGGCATTATTCGTTAGGTAAAGTGGGGGCAAAGAGCTCAAAGATGAATGGCGGTTCTGCCGACAGTGATGGCCGAGGACGGGGTGTCTGCCTCAGGCCTGTTCCCCAGGCGCTGCTGATGCAAAAACGTTGGAAAAATGCCCTGGGAGAGACCTGCTGAGCCGCCCACCACCTGGGGAGTCTGTCGCTCAGGGAGAGAGCCTTTGGTTAACACTGTTTTCTTGTACTTTTTCATTTTAATGTAATTTGTATATTTGGTGTTTTACACACTATGCGTGCGATTTGCTTAACTGCTCAGTAAAATGCATGCCCTGCCTTGTTTTTTGAAGCTGCAATTGTTTCACATTTTTGAGGACACATTGATTCTGACAAGGGATCCCTGGGTTAGCGGCCTGCACGCGTGCACATACACACACACGCTACACAAATACACAGCGGAAACCACTGACAGATAAAATTTGTAATGTGTTGTGCCATTAAATGTCTATCACAGGAAAAGTCTGTGAAAATGGGTATAAAACAGCAGGTAGTTTAGTCGGGTACATCCGTCTCTGTCCCTGGAAGTGCGGTCTCTGCGCATGAATGAGGGAAGGAGCGCCTGGAAACAGTCTTCTGCAATAGAGGGAAACCAGCCGTCCCTAGGGAGGGGGGTGGGCTGGGGGGGGAGGGGGGTTCCCCTACTGTGAAGACCACGAGGAGGACGATAATCATCATTAGGACACTGTTAGAAGTGAGCCAAGGAAATAAAGTGTAACTATAAATGATTCAGTTAGGAGTTTTATTTCTAAAGGTTTATTCCAACTCTATTTGACTTTCTGATGGGGACTCTAACCCTCAGTACAATTCAGCCACTTGGGGAAGGCCCTGCCGGGGTGAAGAGGTTCCTGCATGGGGGTCACTGATGAGAGTTCAAGGAAACACAGGCGTCCTCCTCTCAAACAAGACGCGAGATGTAAGGCCAACACGGATAGGGCAGAGCTGTCAAGGGGACTTGCTGCTCACTGCTCTTGGTGGAGGAAAGTGTCAGATCTGTGTCTGGTGATGTAGCCCCTTTATAGAGACCTACCCACTGGCTCCTGGGAACAATAAGGCTGGTCTCCAGGCCGTGGTGCCAGGGGGAGGGGGAGGTCATGCCCAGCTGATGGCTGATCACTGATCACTGATGGGTGCTGGCCCAGCCTGTGCCGAGGCCTGTGCCCTCCACCACAGCCCCTCCCACAGGCAACGTAGACCTACA